TCTGAATTTTTAAAAAATTATCTGTTACATTTATTTTCTCGTTCTCTTCTATTGCTTCTCACGATTATCGGCGGTATTGAATATGAGCTTGGTCTGTGTTGGACCATAGAACAGGGGTCGCCAACCTACGGCACGCGTGCCACACGTGGCACGCCAAGCAATTTCCAATGGCAGACTGAACGATTTTAAAACCCTCTGTCGGCACATATCGAAAGGTTGCCGACCCTTGACATAGAGTATTGTGATATTCGTACACTTTCAATGCATTTTCTCTTTCTGGTCACATAATCTGATGAGAACTTTTATTATCTTCGTCCCATCTATCTATCTATCTATCTATCTATCTCTATCTCTCTATCTATCTGTATATATATATATATATATATATATATATATATATATATGATCAGAGGTTCAACTTTGGCAAGAAACTGACAATAACCATTGAGTTTTGACTAATACCCACAATACTGACCACTCCTTCTCCATAAATATAGCAAATTTTTAAACTACACAAACACACACACACACATATATATATATATATATATATATATATATATATATATATATATATATATATATATATATTTACTCATATTCGTATTGGACGAATGCATCTGGATTAATTGCCGCCTGTTCCCTGTCAAAATGTGTGCTTTGTTAATTCTGGTAGGACTTATTTCCAAAGGTCAGTGAGTACAAAAATCAGTTTGAATGTTATTAAGTATAGTCCGTGTCATTTAGCTTTGCCAGAAATTGGTTTGTCTTTGTTGATCTTCTGTCGCTTCTGCTTAACGACACTGGTATCTAGTAAATGTTGGACATCGGTTCTCGTTATGAGAAACTTTATATTTCATCATACAAGACATACATTTTCAGTTCCATGTCGTAAGCTTCATCTGGAGCTCGTAAGTTGTTCGGAATAAATGAAAGAAAAAAAAATACACCCGATTTGGATAAATATTAACAAAAAAAATATTTAAAGGAAAAAGAAATAAAATATTAGCTATTTAAAGAAGAAAATACGGAATATACCTATATTTTTAAAAAAGTCTAAGAAGTTTAGAAAACCCCAGAATCTTCTGGAACATTAACCAATATAGAAAAAGTCTGTGACACTAGATATAATATTGTTACATCTTATTCTGATATTCAGAGCCGAAAGATTAATAAAAGAAAGAAAAGGAATAATGTGAGTCTATTAGGAGAAAATACAATTACGGTATCCTACATATGTATAGGTGTACACACACGAGCATACGCAGGTTCATACATACACACATATACGCGTAGAAGCGCACAGACAGACACACGCACACACGTACACACGCACACACACAAAGAAGAAAAATCAAGACCAATAAAAAGGTGCAGAAATCATTATTTTTTTTAACGTAATATAAAAATAATGACATTTGCAAATGCCTCCTGACGAGTGGACCGAACAATTGCACAAAGGTTCACCTACAAAACTCTGAATCAGAGATACTGAATATAACATCAATTATCTAAGTGCTAAATTTTATTTCTGTCTATATATCTGAGATGAAGTATTATGATTATTTACATTATTTACATTCGGACTGTTACCCTCATCTTCATATTCATATGTGAATATGGCAATGAAGATGAGGATAATAGTCCGAATAATGTATGTTGCCAAATCTTATTTTGTTTTAATTTCCCCCCTCTCTCTATCTCTCTTAGTATATATATATATATATATATATATATATATGAGAGAGAGAGAAAAGGTTTTAATGTAGGCTATATACACGGAAGGAGATTAGGCCAAAGAAATAATTGTTCTTTACTAAATTAACAACATAAATACTTTTCTGGATTAAACTACATATATATTACTGTACGTTTATATATATATATATATATATATATATATATATATATATATATATATATATATATATATATATGTGTGTGTGTGTGTGTGTGTGTGTGTGTGTGTGTGTGTGTGCGTGCTTTGAAAAAGGCGAAATGGCGTCTACCGGTTTAGATTTTTGGACCGTCTTTAATATCTCTCTCTCTCTCTCTCTCTCTCTCTTTTTTATATATATATATATATATATATATATATATATATATATATATATATATATATATATATATGTCTTAAAAAATAAAATGTCTGAAAATAATTGTCGGACTTTGTCCATTTCATAATGTGTGACGTCATTTGTTTACATTTGATACGCCATGAGCAGACATGAATGTACGTGAGAGATTCATGGATGATTGAAGTTTAAAAGCAGTAAATTCGACCATGCTAACCGATCGATCCTCTGTGGCGAAATCGGTAAAAGCACGTCAGGCTATATGACGGTTCCGAATAGGATACACGTTCGAATCCTGTCGGAGAACGAATATTTTCTATGAAAATTTCTCTGACATTCAGGCCGCTAAATCTTATTTAATACTGTTTAAACAGAGCATTTACTTAAATATTTGTATCTATAAAAAGAATGTTAAACATAAAATG